ACTCATCTGGTCTTCGCTCATTAGTGTTCAAGGCCTCAAACCTGTTCCTGAGATGATTCTGAATTCAGGTGGGATGAACTCAAAGTCATATTTTGGCTCTTGTGGATTCGGTTTAATTTTCCTCAGCTTCAGCTTAAACTTGCATATGAGTAATTGGTGGTATGTTCCACAATCAGCTCCTGGCCTAGTTTTCATAGCTGATATTGAGCTTCTCCAGTGTTTTTTCCACAGATGTAATCGATGTGATTCATATGCATAACATCAGGTGAAACCCATGTGTATAACCTGCATTTATGTTTCTTATAAAACATATTTGCAATGAATAAGTCATTCATTGTATAAAATTCAATCATTCTATCTCCAGCTTCATTTCTGTCACCAAGCCCATGTTTTCCAACTGCGCAGTTCAAATCTATAAGCTGTTCCATGGGAGAAAGATGGGTAATCTCTGGTCAAAAACTTTGCTGCCTCTTAAAACCCACTGGAGGGTCAGCTATGAATTGGTTCCAATTCAATGGTACATAACAAGAAGAACAACATATTCAGTCATGAAGTCTATGAGGAGGAAGGCGGCATTAAGATTGGAGGAAGACTCATCAACAACCTGTGCTATGCTGATGACACAACCTTGCTTGCTGAAACTGAGGAGCACCTGAAGCATGTTCTGCAGTCTTCAATATGGACTGAAGTTCAACACCAAGAAAAGATTCTGACCACTGTGTCAAGTAGTAGGATAATGATAGACAGAGAAGAGACTGAGATTGTTAACAGCTTCAGCTTGCTTGGTTCCACAATCAACACTCTTGGCACCAGCAGTCAGGAAATCAAAAGACAAATTGCACTGGGAAAATCTGCTGTCATGGCCCTCTCTAGAGTACCGAAGAACAATGATGCCAATCTAGACAAGGTGTGTCTGATCCAAGCCATGGTCTTTTCAATTATTTGCTATGCATCAGAGAGCTGCAATGACTAGAGATGATAGAAGGAGAATGGATGCTTTTGAGTTGTGTCGCTGGCGAAGAGTATTAAACATACCATGGACTGCCAAGAGAATGAACAGGTCTGTCCTGGAGAAGGTGAAACCAAGTTGTTCCTTGGATGAAAGGATTTTGAAGCTCCATCTCACATACTCTGGGCATGTTTCCAGAAAGGATCAGTTCTTAGAGAAGGACATCATGGTTGGAAGAGTGGAGAAAAAGTGCAAGAGAGGAAGACCCTGGATGAAATGGATTGACTCAGTAACTGGGGAATGAGGGTAGGTGTATCAGAAACACAAACGAAATTGTTTAAAGATAGGGCAAGGTTCAGAAGTACTGTACATAGGGTTGCTATGAGTGCAGGCAAATGGACGGCACATAACAACAAACAACCATCTTCTACATCTGCATAGCAGCTAGTATCTGTATTTCTCATTGGGTTTCCAGTAACTCATTGCTTAATTGTTAATCCACATTTTAAACTTTTATTTCAATTCCACAAGTACACTAATCATATAACTTCTGAGGTGTATGAGACCACAGTGGACTCACTTTTTGTTTCTCCAATTTACCCACCTCTTTGTGAAAGAGTTGGACAATCATCTAGAGAGTATTTCAAAATGAAAAAACAAAACAAAAACCAACTGCTGCGGGATTTCCTGGGCCTAAATCAAGTAAGAAATGAGAAAAAAACCCCAAAACACCCCAACCCAACACCACAAAAACCCACCCACCCACTCAATCACCAAAAACCCGCTCCTTGTTGCTGAGGAGTTAACTCATAGTTAACCTTACCCCCATTTTTTTGAAATCCCAAACTGCTATGAAGGAGACTATCCCTGTATCCACTGTAGGGCCCCTGGTAGATTTGAACCACTCACCATAAAGGCACCTCCTTCGGGTTAGTAGCTCAGCTCTCTACAGCCTATTATTACCAGAGCTCCCAAGTTATAAACAGCTTAACAGATTTCTTCTTTGTTATATTTAATACTTCTGACTCGACAGTACTCAACAACAACTAGTAAAGAGATTAGGCCAGTATAAATTCACGTTACTATGTTAAGAGATAATTTGTTAAATGTTCAATTGGGTCCTATTTTTATGAATTACTGGCCTACATGTATCCCATACTGTCACATTAAAATCTATCAGCAGCTGTTAGTGACACTGTGTGTTTAGGTTGAATTCACCCTAACAAAAGTGTTCTTTTGACATCACCTTTGAATGACTTAATATCTCTTCGACCATGTATCACATTCTTCATTTATTTCTTCACAGTAAAACCAATGAGCTTTTGCTTCCCAATAATTCCCCCCAAATGGTTAAACTATGGCAGTGGTATACACACAGCAGGAGCTTGATTAATACCTGTTAAGTGACTAATGGTGTTGTTCTTAGGTGCCATCAAGTTGACTATGACTCAAACTGTGATCAACGGATCTGAATTCTGCTCTATCCTGTGGCATCCTCATTATCTCTGATATACAGGAGCCCATTGTTACAGTCATTGTACTTTTGGGTTACCAGTGCAAATCCTTATATCTAGGATAAGAATTCCACCCATAGCTGATGCTCCAGTGGGTTTTAAGAGGCAATAAATAACATGGAATGAGACTGTCAATCTTTCTCCCATGGAGCAGCTGGTGAATTTGGACCATATACCTTTGAACCATGTACCAATTCCTTACCACTACATCACCAGAGCTCCTTATCCATTCAACAATAATGACTATTAATATTCACAAGCCATGAAATTGCATCACAACTCATTTTACTTTTCTCTGTATAATCTCTACTAGAAATTATGAAGCTAAAGTAAATAAAATACAAGTACTACACTAGTTGTGTATCATAGGACCAAGTCTAGATCAGTTATTTTAACATCACATAGTCTCTCAGACTTAAAATTGAAGAAGTTGGCCACTTGTTGAAGATATATGTGCCTTACTTTGGGCATGTTGTTAGGAATGGCCAGTCCTTGGAGAAGGACATTATGCTTGGGAAGGTGCAGAGTTGATGAAGAAGAAGTAGACCTTCAACAAGATGAATTGATACAGTGACTGTAACAATGGGCTCAAGTATATAGGAGATGGTGAGGTTAGCGCAAGACAAAGCAAAGTTAAAAAAAAATAGGGTCACTATGAGTCGTGGTTGACTCAACTGCACAAAACAAATCATTACTAATATAAATAACTGACTAAAAGATCTGTAAGGTACCCTAGGCATTAAGTAGTCTTTTTAGCTTGTTTCACAGATCCAGAGACTGGTTCTGAAACAAATGGAAATTTTTTCAATATCCCAAAATTAGAGCGTGCTTATTATCATTATTTTAGTCTACTGACCTTCCAATGTGATGTTGACTGGCTTAAGGAAAAGAAGAAAGCTAAAAAGGAGCAAACATTTTAAGCTGTAGGACGAAGTGATTTATTTATTATTTTTTTTCACATACCTTGTTTCCTCCCTACAGATTAAAAAAGGTTCTGTCACTCACTTATTGCCATCGGGTTGGAACTGACTCATAGCTGACCTTCCAGTGGGTTTTCAGAGACTGTAAATCAAACAGGAGAGATTTCCCATCTTTCTCTTTCTGAGCAGCAGGTCGATTCAAACGTCCTACATTGGATTGGCAATGCAACTCCTTGCCCACTAGTTCGCCAGAGCTCCCTCTAAATCTCTCTACAGGAGGGTTACTAGAGTGCTTACTTTGTAGTTATCTTTTTGTGATTTGCAGAATTTAGGAGTCGAAATCAGCTTGAAGGGAAACAGGTAGTATCTATGAGAAAGGAGCCCTCATGGTGCAGTGGTTAATCACGTAGCTGACAATAAAAATGCTGGTGGTTTGAATCCACTAACAACTCTTTTGGAGAAAAGAGATGGCAATCTGCTTCTGAAAGCAGTTTGGGAAACTCTTTTGGCCAGCTCTACTGTGCCCCATAGGCTCGCTGGGTCGGAATTGACTTGACAACGAACAGTAATAGCACTAATGTAAGTTAATCCTAGTTGCACGATGGTAAGAACTTGACTGCTAACTGAAATGAGGCCCGTTTGAATCCACCAATAGCTACAAGACAGAAGGACCTTGCAAACTGTTGCAATAGAGATTAGAGCTTGAGAAAATCTAACAAGCACTCCTATTCATTTACATATGGTCACCATGAGTCAGAATTGGCTTGATGGCACACAGTAAATGGTTAAGTACTTATCTACTAATAGAAAAAGTTGAAGACTTGAATCAACCAAAAGGCATCTCAGTAGAAAGGCCTGGAAATCTACTTCTGAACAATCAGCCATTGAAAACTGTCTGGAGCACACTTCTCCTCTGACTGCTCTGACACACATGGGATCCTAATGAGTTGGACTCAACTCCACAACAAACGGTTTAATTCTGATTTCCATTGGCGTTAACATTTTAATTCAATTGCATATATTTGTGTCTTTATCAATCCATCTACTCTTCCTTCCATCCAAATGTTAAATGTGTGTGTGAGAGAATACTAAAGGTCATTTGGTCCATCCATTTTGTTACCAATCAAAAGAATAAAGCCCAGAACAAAATAAGAATTTACACTTGAAAATAATCTTAAGACCCACTATCCCTTGAAACATATAGTAGTACTGCAGTTAGAAAGAGAAGCATGAACTACTAAAAGGAAATTCAAAGTACCCAACACAAGATAATCGTAATTTGCTCCTTTCAATAGAAACATGGATTTTCAGAATATGTTGTATGCCAGCCACATCATATCTTAATGCTTATATAAATCATAAACCAATCACATATCGGAATAATAGAAGCCAAGTCTTATATAGTAAAATGGTCACCTCTTAGAATTCAAGTGCCCTCTCAGGTAGTAAAGCAGCTCAATTAGACGTTATTTCCTCTTTTCTAAATCTTATGGCTCCTTCACTGAGATAACAGTATACCTATTTTCAAGTCACATGACATCTATACTTATTTAAACCTAAAATGGGATAATTATTCCAAATTATTGTTTCAAGGAATAATATCGCTTACCCACATACCTAGGTGGTTGGGGAGGCGCCTTCACATCCCTTGGTATGAGGTTATAAATGCTCTCAGAAAAGCATCTTGGATCCATGGCCACCAAATGGCTTTTTAAAACTATTACCAACTTTTTTGCGCACAACTCTAACTCTGTATCTTTACTCTCTCCCCTTTTCTTTCTTACTCCTTTGTCTTCTTAAAGAATCAGGGCTTCTTTAACACAATTCCCCTTTGAGTTTCCGTTTAATTGCCCTCTCGAGATACAAAAGAAAATACTATTCCTCTAAGACTTTCAGTGTTGTTGACGATGCGGTTGCTGTGGAAACCGATACTAGGCGACAGGGAAGTGAAAGGCTAGGTTTCCTTCTCTTTCCCTGCAAAGCCTTTTTCAGGGGTTCAATATGGAAACCACTGTTTACATGTGGCTTTGAAAATAGTGCAGTCGTACATGGTAGCCACTTAAAAAATTTGCCCTTTTCTTTCTCTTATCTGGACAAGACTTTTTATAAAGATAGGCAGCAAGCACAGCCAGCGCGCAGGCGTCATGCGAGAAGACCCTTGTGCGCAGGCCCACAAGCGAGTCTGCACCAGCGTGGAGCGCACGACGCAGACGCCCCGCCAGAGTGGAGAGCGAGTGAGAGGTGGGAGGAGCCAGAAGCATCTAGACGCTGAAGTGGGTGGGGTGGGGATGGAGCAGGGAAGCAGAGGGATTTGCATGGTGGAGAGATGGGAGCGGGGAGAGAGTGGGCGTGGCGACCATTTCTGAGGCCCACGCTCGCGCAGGCGCATCGACAACAACAAGGGGGTGGGGCGAGCCTAGAGAAGCCTACGGGTTGGGGCCTTGGGCGAACCTGGGCGAGAGCTGGAGCTGCGAGTCTCCGTCTCCCGAGGCGGTACTGGTGGCTCCTGGACTCTCCTTCTCATTTCCTTTACTTTCCCCTCGTCTTCTCAATGTGATTTCCTTGGTGAGTTATTTGAGGAGAAAGAAAATGAACTGTAGAAATCAGTCCTTTCTCATCGCATGCCTCTCCCTTTTCGTTTCTTAACCTTTCCCGCTACTCAGTGTAGTCCTCTTTCTATGTCCGCACTCGTTTTTACTGGTGCTTCGGACTCCGGCACCCCTAACCTCTCCCCACCAACCCCGCGCCCCAGGCCAGCCCTGCCCTGCCCGCCACCTGTGGGAGTGGAACCCGCGCCCGGTTGTTTATCGTCCACCTGTCGCTCCCAGGTGCCCTGGGTGCTGCTTTTCTTCAAAGGCTTGCAAGTGTCCTGTTTCTTTGTGAGCACCCCTAAAGAGAGGAGTTGTTTAAATGGACCCTTGAATTTGGGCCCATTTTTTTGTGTCCCATTTGGAAAAATTATAGCTGTGCATATTGTGCAATTGACCAACCATGAATATATGACTGCTGAATAAGACTATTGACAGGAACAAAATCTAAAAGGACATTTCTTCTGGCACTTTGAAAGACATTTTGGTAATATGACATGGGGAGGGGAGCAGAGATTGGTAGTTCTTTCAAAGGTCCCACTGCCCAGAGGAAGTAGAGATGCTAGAGGAGGAGGGAAGAAAAAAAAAATTCGTTTGTGTTCTCTCTACAGCCTAGGCATTTGAAGCATGGTGATGGTTGGGTGAACTTTGTTGCTACTTAAAGTCTTTGCTGAGTGTGTAGGGTCTTCGTGAATTTGAACAGGTTAAAAGAAATGTTAGGGTTTTAAAAAATTACCCAGCTGATTATATATATATATATATTTGTATTTATATTTATTTATTTATTTTAGGCAAGTGTTTAACAAATATTTCAAATGAATGACGTAGTGGTGATGAGATTCCTGTTGTCACATCATCTTGTAAACATTTTATGTGTTCATTTTGGTTTTTGCTGATCATGTGTAGGGGTAAATCCTTTGGGGAACTTCGTTCACTGTACTTATTAAGATTTATAGTAAGGATACAAAAGTCTAACATTAGTGAAGTGGATAGTCACTGGCAAAAGCCTGTTGTTGTTGTTGTTATGTGCCGTCATCTATAGCGACCGAATGAACAAAAGTCCTTGCACCTGTTCTGTAACTATTGTCTTTTCTCCAAGTTCATAGAGTTTCCAGAGGATGTTTTTTAGGAACTGGATGGCACTCCTGCTTCCAAGCCTGTCTCAGTCTAGGAGCTCTGTCCTAATTAAAAGGCACACTTTGGGAAAGTGTATTTATGTTTAATAGTGTTCAAGAGGGTAAAACATGATTTCTCCAGTTCCTAAACACCATCTGACCATAGCTAATTTTAATTTCTGACATTACTGAAATACAGTAACGTCACTGATGTCAGTGTTTGCTATGCTTTAAAAATAATAGGATTTTTTAAATATCATTTCACTTTAATGTGCTAATAGTTATGACGAAATTGTTAAATTATTTGAAAAGGAACTTTTTTCTTCAAGTGAATATACAAAATTGCTTGAGATTTCTGCTTACGGTAACTATATAAATTTCAGAATACAAATTCCAGCGTTTTCTGTACTATTTACTGAAGCAGATTGCTAAATCTTTCTTCCCCATCTCTGCCAGGTGGGCTCAAAGTCAGTACCTTTAGGTTAGTGTTAGGTACTATTGAGTGCACTTGCTAGGTGCTTTGAGGATAAACGACTGTCACCCACAAGCCTTTTCTGTAGATAGCTGATCTGTAATTCCACTTACCATTTGAAAGTGTATTTATAAGAAATATATTTTTATTTCAATAATTTCCTCAAAAAGGCAGTTGTCTTCAGGGAAATGCCTGTCTGCCATCATATGAATCAAGGGCAGACAAACTTCCCATAAGGGGCTAAATAATATTTTAGGCTTTGCATGTCAGAGGGGCTCAGTCACAGCTTAACTATACCATTGTAGTGAAAAGCAGCCATAGGTAATACATACATGACTATACACTCATAAATAAATGAGTGCATAGTTGTGTTTCAAGGCAAGTGTACCAAAAAAAAAGGGGGGGGTGGGATGGGCTGGATTTGGTCTTTGGGCTGTAGTTTGCACTAACTCCTGTATAACTCTGTTATACACAGGTGGTTTTGTTGATTTGTGTGTGGTGTGGTTTTGTTTTTTGTTTTTTGTTTTCCTGTTAACTAACATTTCATTTAAAGTGGACATAAGATAATTGGGTGGGAAATAGATTCTTACTCAAGAAGTCTTTTTTACATTTTTCCCCCCAAAGTCAGAGAATTGGAAAGGCCACTCAAAATTCCCTTTGAATAAAATGCTCAAGACTGTTAGAGACTATCTGATAACAGAAGATTGACAACTGAGAAGGCTTAGTTTACCTTGCTGCAAAGATAAAGGGAAAAGTTAGTGATGGACTTGTAAAGTTACGTATTTGATTTTAAGAACCCTGGAATTTTGGGTGGCACTAAAGGATGACAGAAGAAGAATTGATGCCTTTGAGTTGTGGTGCTGGTGAAAAGTATTGAACATATTGTGGACTGCCAAGAGAACGAACACGACTGTCTTGGAGAGGGTGAAACCAAGCTGCTTCTTGGAGGCAAGGATTTTGAACCTCTGTCTCGCACACATTGGTCATGTTGCCACGAGGGACCAGTCTTTAGAGAGGGAGATCTGAGGAGAAGACGACCCAGAATGAGTTGGATTGATACTATCACTAGGGTATTGAAAAGTGTGTCAGAGACAGTGAGATTGCCTCAGAGCAGAATTCACAGCTATTGTGCATAGGGTCACTATGAGTCATAGTCAGCTTGATGGTACATAGAGTGTGTGCTCCCATCATCCCCCAGCTCTGCATTTCCTGAGTAATAGTGATAATTTAAGGGCTGTTTGAGAGAACGTCAGTAGTGAGAAGCAGTAGAGTTGTCTCTCAATTATTTTATGTCTTCTTACATTTGCAGTTTTTGTTACTTCATGGAAAATTATTTGTTACTGTGAAAAAACAACAACGAACAAACCAATTTTAAGGGTTTTTTTCAAAACCTTAGAATCTTTCTTCATAATATAATGGCCTAGAGTTAGTCATTCTTCTAAGAAATTTTGAATAGAGGTTGAATTAATTTAAGATGACAGGCCTAATCGTGATGTAAATTTTCTTCTTTAATTTCACTGAAGTATAGCCAGTTTTCATAATGAAATCTTTTTAACTGCTATGTCTGATATTTTCTTTTGGAAGAATATAAATAGTCTTTCATGCAAAGTAATTTTGGCTAAATAGAGTTTTCACTCTATTCTCATGATGATTTGAAAACTACATAATCTCATAATAGAATTGAAAATTTCTTTTTGACCAACGGCAAGATGCTGTGCTGCAATCCCGCAGGCATATGTACCGTTTGAATCTACTGGTGCTCAACAGAAGGAGGGGTAATCTCCTCCCATGCAGTTAATGGCCTCTGAAAACTTGCCAGAGGTTCAGCTATGAGTTGTTTCGATTCGATGGTACACAACAACAGTATAAATAAAAGTGAACATTGGGTGGAGTGATTTCAGCTAATTATAATCCAACGGTATACTTCAGAAAACATAATAATTATCTGGAGACAAAGGTGCGTCTGATACAGGCCATGGTCTTCGCAATCACCTGTTATGCATCAGAGAGTTGGACAATGACCAAGGAGGATAGAAGGAGAACTGATGCCTTTGAACTGTGGTGCTGGAGAAGAGTATTGAGAATACCACGGACTGCTAGGAAAACAAACAGATTTGTCCTGGAAAGGGTTAAACCGGGTGGCTCCTTGGAGGCAAGGATTCTGAGGCTCCGTCTAACTTACTTTGGACATGTAGTGAGGAGAGACCGGTCCTTAGAGAGGGACATCATGCTTGGGAGGGTGGAGGGATGGCGCAGGAGAGGAAGGCCCTCTATGAGGTGGATTGATTCAGTGACTGGGATAATTGGGATGGGAGTGTCAGAGACAGTGTGATTGGCACAGGACAGAGCAGAGTTTAGGGCTGTTGTACATAGGGTCGCTATGAGTCGCAGGCGACTCGATGGCACATAACAACAACAACCCCAATCAAACCCACAGCCAATTCCTAATCTTAATGGTCCTATTAACTCATTGCCATGGAGTCAGAATCAACTCACAGCTGACCTTCCATTGGGTTTCCAAG